AGGTCTCCTCAGTTGAAGTATAAGTACCTATATCTTCCCTCTATGCTTCTCTGTTACTCAGCACTCAAAATCCCAGACTGCTTTCATGCTTCATTTTAGCCTCTTCTTCCTCAGAAATGAAGCCTTTCAAAGGCTGTGAACTTGGATCACTCAAGCTTTTGTAACCCTCCCTGTAGTTAAAGTTTTGGTTTACTAAGATTCTTTATCAGAATGTTTTCTTCTCCTGAGTACATTTTTAGCTCACCCTTAGGTTGCCTTTGGCCGCTTTCTCTATTGTTACATAAATTGGAATTTACATTTCAGCAACTGGTTTGACTGGTTAGCTCTCTACCAAAGTTTGTAACAAGAGTTCAGGAGCTAGTTTTGTCAAAATTTATATTTCTTTTTTACTTGTGGGAAGACCTGAATTATGTGTGCATTCTTTGCTCTTCTTGTTGATTTTTATGGTGTATATCCATTGCCATCAAGTCAGTATCAACAGATGGTGACTCTGGAGGCCAGAGGACAACTGCCCTGCGTCAGCTTCAGTAAAGAAGCTGACGGCCACATCATTCTCCCAGAGCTGCTGGTGGGTTTGAACCACTGACATTTTAGTTAGGAGCCAAGGACTTAATGCCTGCACCACCAGGACTCCTTTTATGGTGTATGAGGATAAATCAAAAAGCATTGTTGCTAGGATTCCAGTTCATATATATAAGAATTTATTTTAAACAAGACATGTTTAAACACGCCTCTGTGATCAGTGGATGGCTGCAGACAAGCTCTCTCAGTAATGCACTTACTTTTTAGTCTCATTGTTGTTGTTAAGTGCTGTCAAGTGGGTTCTGACCCATAGTGACCCTGTATAGAGTTGCCAAGGAGCGGCTGGTAAGCTTGAAGCACAGACCTTGTGGTTCAAACCACTGCCAATGAGGTGATTCGAACTTATAGCAAATGTGTAGGACAGACTAGAACTGCTCCACAGGATTTCAATGATTGTAAATCTTTACTGGAGCAGACAGCCTCATCTTTCTCCTGAGATGTGGCTGGTGGGTTTTGAACTACATGTCTTGTGGTTACTAGCCCACACTTAACATACTGTGCGGCAAGGGCTCTTCAAGGGTGGG